ATATAGCACATTTATATTCTAGGAATGGAGCTGATGTTCACATAACCGACCCTCACAGAAGGTTGGTTTTTCACTGGGTAATGAAAACACCAAACGCCTTATGTTTAAAGGTCCTTTGTAAACATGTAATTGGAAATATTGAAAACCAAACTGTGAGTTTTAATATTTATAAAGTTTTACTATAATATTTTATGTGCCAGGACATGGAAGGTTTAACTCCTTTGCATTGGGCTGTAATGTGTGAACGGCATCAACACATCAGCACACTCCTCTCATGTGTTCCAACTACTAATGTTTGTGCACAAGATCACAAAGGTCGAACACCACTAAACTATGCTGTACTTCTCTTTTCTCCAATTTGTATCAAAGTAAATAGAAATAAATGATATTTAATGATTTTACTTGTATCAGGCCATCCTTGAGTCCCGACCAATAGCTGCTACTTTTGCAAATTTCAAAGGAAGAACAGCTTTACACTATGCATGTGCTGAAGGCTCTGTTGACTGTGTAAGAGCATTACTTGCTTGCAAAAGGTATGTTGATAAAAATAATAAGCAAATAATAAGAATTATAAACTATCTGGCAGCTGTGATCTTCATTGTCAAGATAATTCAGGGACTACTCCTCTCCATTGGGCAGCTGCAGCAAACCAGCCTGATATTATTCAGTTGCTACTGAGGTGCATTTTAATATTAATATGAGCCTCGCACATTCATTGACATGTGAATTTGTCTAACATTTAATGCATGTAGAACGACCACATCAAACTCTCGCTTGTTTCTTTTTATTTCTCTTTTTTTTCATATTTTTAATATTACCTCACAGACGAGGAGCTGATCGTGGACAAAGGGATGCTAGTGATATGACTCCTCTTGATCATGCTAATCAAAGGAATCATACTGAATGTATTAAACTCTTAAAAAGTTATGGCTTGCTGAGACAGTCATCGTCATGGTCCATTGCATCACAAGTAACATTATTCACAATAACTAATTGTATTTTAGCATGAATCACTCCAGTTTTCTATTCATCCTCCAACTCCTCCTGAGCTAGACGAACATGGACATGTTCCAATGAAGCGGCCATCATCATCTACACCTGACCAGCAATCACCACAAGATATTACTGAAATGAATCCTGCTGATCACTGCAGGCAAGATAGACTGAGGCTTCCTGCTGATGGTCATTCTAATAGCACACAAGAGGAACAATCATTACTACCTACTGAAGACACACAGCAAAAATTAGCAAGTGAGGAAGATAGAGCTAAATCAAAATATTAACTATTTGTATTACAGCTGATGGGGAGGAAACTACACTGACTGCTGTCAGTAGAACTAATTTTAGTGCAGTAAGTATTATGTCTAAATGGAGTAGCTTATTTATGTTATACTAGTCCTGTTTTAATTGGAAGCAAAAGTTGAGGAAGATATTTTCTATTTTTTCAAGGCACAATGTCCGTGTGGCCCCTGCATGAGAAAGGTACAAACCATGTGATACTTACTGTAAAACTTTACCATTATTTATGTGTATATTTGTGTATAATCAATTGGTGAATAAAGTATATTTGAATTTATTGAATTATGTTTGTTCATAATTTTTCTATTTTACAAGCTTGTATTACTTTACTAAATTATAATGATTATTTTCAGTAAGTTTTTATGACTCAGTATTACTTTTGTCCAATTGTCCTGAATGTGTTCATTATTCTGCTGAAAAATTCTTGCAAGGCATTGAATGGCAACTTTTATGGCTTGCCAGGTTGCTACAGATTTGAAAAAGTATATTGTAGAGGAAAGGTAACATGGTTTTAAACTGCGATTGTGATATCATAATGGTGGCAAAAACTAGAGCCTTACAATAATCTGGTCTTAACTGATTTGACAGCAAATAATAATACTCAAGTGAAGAAGCAAAAAAACAATATACTAATACATGAGACACACTAACTAATGAACTAACTAACTAATGAACTAACTAACTAATGAACTAACTAACTAACTAACTACTATCATTGTTATACTGTTGAGTTTTCATCATTTTCAACTGGCATGTCTTGATTCAGTCGAGCAATGTAGTGGGAGAGTGTGACTACTCGATGAAATATCATTGCAAAGAATTGGACCATTATTAAGATTCCATATAAAACCAGAAAAAGCAGGCTAAGAATACTGGCAGTTAGACCAACTTCTTTTAACTCATTAAATGTGAAAATAGAGAGAAGGACGAGCCACATAAGGTTGACTATTAGCAGAGCAATCAGAGTGTAGTTACGTAGCTGCTTCAGATTATTACGTAGCTCTGTAATTTTAGTCAAGTGCTCTGGTATTGGTCTTAGTGTACTCTTTGCTAATTCCTCCCAGAATTTTTTATCATCCTCTTCAAGTCCCGTGCTTTGCTCAATTTCCTTCAGAGTATTTGTTGCCTCTGCAAGCCTGATTTCATCTGTATAAAAGTAAATATCCCTACATGTAAATGCAGAAACAAAAAGGTCCATACCTTCATTCATAACTTTTAATAGTTTAATCCCTTCCATGAACCTCTTCACATGAGCTACAATTATATGTAGAATAATAAGTAAGATTAAATTTAATTAAATTTGATATTTTACCTGTCTTTCTAACTCCTATAGTATTCATTAATTCATCTTTTGTTATAAATGCAAGGTTTTCAACATCTTCTTGTGAAGAATATCCAGCTTTTTCAAATTTACACACATAGCAAACTTCCAAATCTGTTATAACCAAATATTCAAGGATCCATTCTTTAACATTTTTCTAAAAAACTATCAGGTAGTTATTTGTATAATACTAAATTTACTGGCAATCCAGAACGAATAGGTGTACAAGGAAGTTTTTGAGCAGCTTTGTATAGACGTTGAACAAATCCAATGGGTTTAACCCCAATGTCTTTAAAATCCTGTTGTATGTAATTGAAGTATTTCAAATTTAATTGACAGAAAGTATAGTGTAGCTGGTAATTTTGAAGGGGGAAATTTTAGTAAATTTGGTGTTTTTGATAGTCATTCGCCAAATCATTTTGAACCATGCACATGCTCAATGGCACATCCACCAATCACCAAAAATATAGCAATTAACCAAAATTTTACCCCTTCCAATTAAAATTACAGTATTATAATTTTAATAAATGTCAATCATAACCTCTTTTGTCATCCTCACGACAAGACTTTGATGAGTATAACCTTCCTTTATAAATTCTTTTAAAAAAACCTAAAATAATTACAAGAATGATGGTAATATATAGTTAATTAATTGGGCCAATATGACACACTTAGTAACATAGGTGAAAAATTACTACCTGTTTACGGTATGTTTTTATTGTGAAAGTATTTTTAGAAAAAGAACTTTTTGTGTCATTTTCTTTTTGATACAAGTAATTAGCAAGAATGCCAATTTTGGAGCCATGTGACATCACTTTAAATTCAGTACATTTTAACTTTAGTTCTTACCAAGCTGTTATTAACTTTAAGCCATTCACTTAGCCATTTGTATCCTGTAAGAGTATAAAAATAATTTCAAAAATATAATTGTTACCATTATCTTGTTCTCCTGCACTGTATTCTGTACATGTGCACTTCTCTGTTTCTCTTGGTTCTTCAAGTCCTCTTTGTTCCTCAAGTCCTCTTTGTTCCTCAAGTCCTCTTTGTTCCCCAAGTCCTCTTTGTTCCTCAAGCTTGCTTTGATGAGGATCATGACTATGACAATTTTGGTCAAAACTGGTGCTTTTTTCTGAATCGTAATGAGCTCTACTTTTGAAAAGCATTTTTAATTTATTAGAAATTATTTTTAACCAATTTTTTATATCTTTTAGTTGAAAGGGTTTTTCAAGACTAATCTTGGCTTCTCTTGTTCCCCATGATCTATCATTGAGGTTAGCTGTAGAAAAAATGAGTAAGAACAGGTAACCAGCTGGTAAGCCAAGAAGATACCACAAAGAATGTATCAATGCAAAACCCTCAGAGAAATGTAAAATTGCTGTTGTTAAGAAGATGATAACAAACAAGGCTAAATACACAGTACTTTCAGTAACAAGTAATTTTCCACTGTTGCTATAAATATTGTAGTCTGCGCTTTCACTTTTAGTCATCTGAAATGCAGACAATAGTTCCTTGGTTTTGTCCATTATCATTCCAACTATGACAATAGCCATTACCATAGCAAAGGCAGCTGTTAGACCCTTAGCAACATTGATTTGAGTCTTTACACTTGTGATAACACACACAATACCATAACACACTGCAACTAGCCCTGTTACAACAATCACAGCAGTACTATTAATCCCAAATGATGCTGTTAAACCAGAAGCTATAACCAGAATAACTGTAGCAGGTGACGGGGTGGTAGAAAAAAAAGCTATTAACTGATATATGATGAATGTCCAATTAATAGATTCATTATTTTTAGTAATCTTTTTAGCTTTCTTGATCATTAGCCCAATATTAGCAATAGTTGACCCAATCCATCTACGGCGCTGCTTATAGAGGTCGTCGGGGGTCATAGGACAGTATGTCTTATTATTAGATATAGCACAATATTCTAATCTCCAGCCCTTTTCAATTAAAAGTGTGCACAGCCACCTATCCTCACCCATATCCTTTGTGAGAAACTCCATGGCATCCTCAACCTCACTAGAAAATGTCTCAAGACATTGCTGAAGAGCAGAGCAACGAAACATGCTAAAACAACCAGGACAACATAGCACTGATCCAAGGATATGCTCAGTGCTTTTTTGAAGCCAGTGACCAATTGCATAATCAAATATTTGATACCAGTAAATGGGGCCATAACCAAGAGGGTGAGTTCGTGAACAAACAGCACCAACCTGAGGATCACGAGCTAACATATCTAAAAGAGCAACAGCAGACTCTGCTTTGAAGTCAACGTCACCATCTGTAGTAAGAATAAAGACATTGTCAAGTTCCTTTCCCTTCTCTTTATGCTCAAGAATGTACTTCATGTACATAACCTGACTCCACCTTTTCTTATTTCGAACCTTCAGGTTATCTTTGAAATGAACAACAAATGGCATTTTACTTGTGCCTATTTTCCATTGAAAGCGATATCCATATGGAGTTTTCCATTTTTCAGCATCTTTAAGTTTAACATCTAAAGTGTCTGGAATGAGACTCAAAAACTGAATGGCAAATGGATACAGTTGATTTTCTCGACAACCTCCATCAAAAAAAATGTGAGACTCATATTGATCAGCTTTAATGAAACTGTTTTGTTTCTCTTCCTCTTTTTTGTACAAATCTGATAATCGTTTAATGGAAATTAACATTTGCTTCATTTCTGTTTCATTCTCTCGATACATTGTGGAACAGACATACATTGTACACATTTGTCGATTTCCATTAAATTGTACATTTGATTTGCATGAGACATCTCGATTCATAGCTAGTGACTGTTCGAGCAAGATGCTGTTATAATACGGGCGAACAAATATATTTTCTTCTGATGCAAGAATAGCATTTTTAAGTGTGAAAAGTTTAATATTAGATATTAGCTGACTGAACCATAGTAGCAAGCCACTGGTTAAAATCATGTAACCAAATTTTGGTGTTTCTTTTAACTCCGAAAAGACTAAATCTTGATAATAAAAGAGGTGAAATATATCGTAATTTATCAGAGCAATGTAAGCTGCAATGGATAATGGAGTAGCAAACAGAACTGGTAAGGCTAGCCCAAACACATGCAGTGTCATGTAACAGGATAAGAACGACAGGACATAAGCCAGCAAGCTTGTAATGACATGTGTGGCAAATATAGCAATGTAAGTATTGCTCCAATAAAGCTGATGACTAAATAAATTGTAATTAGCCATTTTGTCCTCTTGCAAAGTAAACATGTAATTGTACCTAAAAACAATGTTGCCTATTATGATACAAGGCAACAAACGAACAGTTGCTGCCAGAAAGCCTAAAAACAAAATATTAATTATTAATATATACGGTTGCCAAATATTTCAATAGTAATTTACTTGCTTTCCACCTTCCTTTAACTTCGTTGGTTTTCAGATCTAATTTCTGTTTTGCTCTCTCTTTGGAGGACTGACTTGCTGTAAATGTCACATTTTGTAATTTTCGAGACCAAATCCATGATAAGGCAATTAAAAGGATTGTAACTATTATGATTTCTATCTGCACTTTATTTTGAGTACAGTATAATGGTACTATTATGAAAACAAATTTAAAGATGCTTGTCATCACATAAGAAATTGCCCATATTATCCAGCTGCAGCCCTTGAATGTGCATCTTCTATTATTAGATCTACCCTGATTATTGCACTTGCTCATACATAATTCAATTATTTGAGTGATTTGAGTCATGGAAAATCCATAGATTCCACACATTAAGACTACCGACAGGATAGGATTGAGTGAGACAAATGCATAAAAAATTAGACTTGACTCTACAGCTCCTTCGATGAATGCCAACACTATGCACTATATGGTAATAAAATAAAAGTAATTGTAGCTGCGAATGGGCAGGCTAAGGGAAGGAGGATTACCATCCACCAATTGTATATAGTTATGTAATGAAGATCATACAATGAAAAGAAAGGAGAGTGAGAGAAACATGCACATACAACAAATCACTACATGCATACTTTGTCTATATGAGCATGTGAATAAGATACAACATGCAAACAATGATGTCCATTCACTTTCATTACAGTTATACAACAATGGTACATTGTAGAAGGAAGTTAACTAGCAGAGCTAGTTTAATTGACTATATATACTTATTGTAAAATTAAAGGCACCACCAGGTGTATATTATTATGTAACAGCTTCAACTTTAGCAAATTAAAACATATCTATGCCTCAAATATAACTTGTCCAGGCTCTTTTATTTCAACTGGCTTCTGTTCTCTATAATTCTCTCATGCCTCTCGATCTTTCCCTATCTCTTTCTACATTATTAAATCTTATTATTATGAACATTTTAAAAATCATTTGGACCCTTCTAATCCTTGTACCTATCATGTTTGTTGTCCCTGTGCCAAATGTTATATTTCAAAATTAACCTTCTGTTTTTTGTTTTCATAGCTTGTTTATTTCCTTTCTTTTTCCTACTCTAATCATTCCTTCCTTCTCTTTCCTTTCCTCTACTCTATTTACTTATTACTTATTAAAGGCTGTTTTGACACAGTCCTTCAAAAAGTTTTATTTTTGTACATTTTTAATGTACTGTAAAGTTGTTTAATAATAATAATAATAATAATAATAATAATAATAATAATAATCCGTGCCTTCGGTCATCACCTCGGTACTAGATTTGGTCTCCCTCCCTCTAAACCCACTCTCCATCATTTCTTTCAGAGGTTGTCTGTGACTTTATGGGGATCTAACGCTCAAATGTGGTTGGGTCGCACTTCCATCTTGCCTCCCCAAGTGAATGGCATATTGAAACTATTAATTGTTATTGTTTTGTTGTGTATTTTATTTTAGTTTAGCTTTCTGTTCTGTGTTTTTTATGGGGTTTCCCTTTTTGTTTGTCTTGATATAATAATAATAATAATAATAATGATGTATGCCATTATGCTATTGTATACCCCTGCCCTTGCACCTCCATATGATTATAATGATATTTATAGTGCCATGCGGGCCACAGCTTTCTCTTTTTGTCTTAGCTGCCTAACTTTAGGCTTTTTCTGGCCTTTACTTTTTGTTCTTGCAAGTATAAAGGATACTTTAATGACTAGGAAAAAGACTTCTCTTTTTCTCTATCTCTTGTCACTACAAATGATCAAATCAGGGATGAATTCAGGATTTTATTAGAAATAAGAGAGTTGTGAAAAAATGGTGCAAAGCCATAGATATTAAAGTATCCAAAAGACAAGGCAGTATGTAAACTCTAATCATAGATGGTATCATTAGTATTCTGTACAGGAATTTTGTGGCTAAATCAATAATCATTAAAACTTTTTGATGTTTTTGGGGGGTCGCAACCCCACAACCCCCCCCTAGATCCACCCGGCTAGGCACTGTTAAATGCTCAATGGCAAGCTTTGTGTGATTTGATCTTACATTAAGTATACCGAATATATCATATAGATACCATACCTTCGAATTAAGTCTATATCAGTAATATGAGACTCTCATCCCTTGATATCTGTCCTCCGCTTTGCCTCAGGAAGATATCTCAGGATTTGGGTCTCACTACTGATATACTTGAAGCCATGGTATAATATGTATACATATACTAGTATTTTGTAATTTGGCTTAGTAGTGAAATGGATCATTTTTACTGCAGATAAATGACTATAGATATGTAGTATCTACCATAATGTTGTACCAAAATTGTGGCATGCTTTGCTACTATTACTATTTTAAAAGTATTAGATCTGCCTCTGAATATCAATTCATGGCCTAATTTTGGCCCATTAATGATACATCTTATCATTGAGATCTTATGCAAGGCACATACAAACAAAGCCCCGGCACACAATTAGCACAAAACATAGCTTTATGAACCTGCATGTAGCTTTAACCTTTTTGGTTTAGGTAAAAAAAATTATAAAACAAATTCTCGACAAAAATTGTGAAAGGGGTCCCATTATACTAGATCTATCATACAGTGTACTATCATTATGCATAGCCATTGTAAACTTACTCTCCAGCTGTACTGCTTTGGCCATGGTCTCAAAATAGATCTGCTGAGCAAGCCATTGAATAGTCCTCTAACCCATGTTATTGTGTTGGGCACCATGATCATAAAGAAAAGCATCCAGTATAGGCTAGCTGCATGCTGCTGAGCTGGTATGTCAGCTAAGTCTAACTCATCATAGTAGT